AATAGGTTTATGTTTTTTTATGGAACAGCCTATTCCTTGACCTATTTGAAATACTGGTACCCATAACTACCTTGCTTTAAAGGAAGATGGTCGTCCGTTTTCATGTTCAGACGGTCATGACTCACCGACATCAGACTTGGTGGAAACACCATTAATGGGTCATGATAGATGTCTCGCGTACATTAAACCCGTAGTCCCCATCAAGGTTACCCCCTAGTCTCTCAGAGAGTCGGTCTTTAGGTGAGGGGATGGACGGAAAATGCAGAGCATTACATAAGGCCAGTTTGCCATAACAGTGAAGACTAATCCTCGTGACTGACAGCACCTGACGTTAGTGGGTACACACCCAAATGGTGTCAGACTCCCCATTAGATCCATCTACTCTGCATCCTTAAAAGCCCTAGAATTAGATTGTACCCAGTGTCGCCATAGCAAGGAAAGACAGTGACATCCTGTTGATGTTTACAAACGAGGCAGCTTCCAAGAAGCTCGTTGCAGGAACTCACTGTCTGAAGGTTTACCATGAGCCGGCATTTACACTGCGAGCAAAACTTGCTGATTTTTCCCATGTTCAAGGACCTGTTTCACACAGCCTTTTTCAATGACAAATTACAAAAATCAGTGACAAAACTGCTCATAACCAATTAGAAGCAAGGATTTCAGTAGCTTATACCAAGAACTGTCATTTGTCACTGATGAAAAGTTTTGTGAAACACCCTCCAGGGGTTTCGTCAAGAGTTTCTAATAAAGTAACTAGATCTACCCATAAAAGGAAAACAAAAAAACTTGAAAACAAAAAAAAAGACACCTCCAGAGTGTTTTTTTTTTTGTAATGGCAGTAGAAATTTCACTTTTTGTTCTTTTCAGAAGGTATAGGAGCCATCTATTCTCAATGATATTCCAAAAGCTAACATTGTTAGGGGTTTGCATTTACGATTCACAGATTAAGAGCACTTGTAATAGGTACATATAAAGCTAAATTGATCCTAATGGTAGAAAGCACATTTACAGCACCACCATTAAAATATAATGTGACCAGCATATATTATAAGGTAATGAAAAACATTAGGGAGATGGTATTTTGCGAATCTGTGAAACAAGATTAAAATAAGATTGCACATCAATCACGGTTGAAACGACCTAGGGAAAATCCTTCTTTGAAAAAGCATATGTGTTCATTGGTTGCAAGCATCAAATCGTTTGCTGTCCGCAAGAAAGCATCTACTGCCATCGTTGGTGCATAGCACGAACAACCTTCTTGTGGACTGCTGCCAAAATACACCCTCATATGTTCCTGTATGTGTTCCTTCCATGGGCACTAATTTAATTACAGGCAAGCCTTGGGAAGTCCTGGGAATGGTATTTAAAGAACAGTTAGTTCTAATGCAGAGGGAAGGAACTTCCCACTTGTTTTCTAGGACAATTTCTCTATTTTTGGTGATATAAGATTGTGAAGTTGATCTAAACTACGAATGTACATGTGTATAATATAACGTTAGGTATACTATGACTATGTCTAGACATTCTAAATTATGCTCAAACATCCTTTTTGTTTATGTGTAAAACTATTAGACTAGAAAATTATTAATTGCTGATGGTATAGCTACATGTACATGAATGTAATTTGAATGAGGAGAAGGGGGTAATACTGATAGCTTTTAAAGAATTTAAGAGTTATTACGATACTTACATTATACTGTTACACTTTTATTCAACAAATCTTATGTATCTAAAATTGCCATAAATTAATTAGAGGAAGGAGCAGAAATCAGTGGCATAGCTACTGGGGGAGGGGGCATGGGGGCATGTGTTACCTCAGTTTAGTAGTGAAAAAATAAAAAAGCAAAAAATATGAGCAAAGATAGAAAGGGAAAATGGGAAAAGGACAAGATATGGTGATGCCTGAACCACCTCCTACACCCTCCCTCTAATCAGTAAATTCATGTTTAATTTTCCAAGAAACACCAGTGCTTCTCCACTCACCACCTACCCCCCCCCCAATTGTTTGAGTGCCCCACCCCTCCCCCACCCCCAATTGGCGGACTCAAGCTACACCACTGGCATTACCCATGTATGGTCATCAGTGCCTTTGTTATAATATCTTGATTTCAAAAGCCTTACAACATGCTGGACAGTCAGTCTACAATTTCATTTTCACTTTTCACTATCACTTTTAGGCATTGAAAAGAAGAGATTTTTATCTGATTTGGAAATGTGCCATTTCCTGAAGCCAATCAAATTTCTCTATTGAAGGAGGAAAGAAATGATTTAGGACTATCGGAGAATGTAATTATAATGGCTAAGCAATCATCCACATTTAACTAGCAATTTGATCATTTCAAGATTGCAAGTACATAACGTAAAACACATACTTAAAGCTATAATCTTAAGCTCTGGTATGGGGATCGTATTTTGAGAGAAAATTGCTATGATTTATTCTGGATTGTTTATCCAGCAGTAGATTGGTTGTTTGAACCAGTGAAATAAAAACAAACACACAAAAACTTTTTAATACTAGGCAACATCTTTGATAAAAAACCACAACTCCCAATCGCCCATAGTGAACTGTGTTAAACACATTGGCCCCAATTCACAGAGGAGGTTTAAATTTAACCCATGGTTTGAACCCTCATTACATAACACATGGTTTAAAATTAGCGCAAATTAAGTGTACCTTGCCTTGCAGGCGTCTAATATTGGACCTATGAATGTGTCACGCTTATTTTGCGCTAATTTTAGACCATGGTTTATGTATAAAATGAAGATTTAAACCATGGGTTCAAATTAAACCTCCTTTGTGAATTCAGGCCATGGTGTCGATCCTACGTACTTTAACCCAGATTTCCTTATCTTTCTATGCTTATTACTCAGCCACTACACATTTTCTACCAAAATAGTTTGGCACGTGTCATTTATATTATCTTGAACATTCAGTGTAAGTTTCGTTAGATTCTGTGAGAGTTTATTTTCTATATTTACCAGAACTCAAGTTTATCTTTATACTAAATGTTGATCGTTTATTTTGTGTTATGTACTTATTAATGTATGTTGAATTGTATTTACTGCCACGGAGAAGAAAAGATTTCCAAATATCAACGGGGCATTTGGATAAAATGAAATGTTATGATGTCAAAGTCAGAAAGCCTAGAAAAGGGATCCTTTCTGTGAAATTGTTCATGTAATATAGCAAACGGTTTGCTGGGAGACAGAAAAGTGTTAACTCATCATGGAGTTAATAACACTCTCATTGAACTCAACAGACAGAATATTGATTGCTGACAGGCATGGAGATGATTTGGAATCTATTTTCAAAAAGCACAACACCTTTCTTTGTCTGAGGCTACATATAGGATGTACCAATTCTTAATAATTAACCACAAACGTTACATGTGAGAGTGTAAGCTCTCATGTGAGAAAGCTCTCATGTGAGGAAGCATAACATAGACATTTAATCTCTGTGTCTGCACCACCTAAATGTGAAATATATCATGTGTTCACTCCTCTGACCTATCATACTGGCATGTAATACTTTCCTCATACATGGTAGTTATGATTTATGACCCTATCCTCAGCCTAATTGATCTTTCAATTTCTCGCCTGCGTCGTCCTGATCGCCCACATTTTTTCTCTCTAATAATAATAAAAATCTTGATTTATGTAGCTCAGAATATGAAATGCCATCTCTTAGCGCTTTACATATTATTACCCCGGTCATCAGATTCATTCACGAACAATGTGCACCATCTCCACTTCCTTGGGAGTAGTCCTACCATTTGGTCACTGTAAGGGCATATGGTAATTACTAACACAAAGGCTTTCGTCATCCTATAAGTTCCCTGTTTTTCTCCCGAGTATGGAGATTAATGCCTTGCCAAATGACACAAATGCCAAGTAGGGGATTGAACCTATAACCTTTTCATATATCAAGTCAAGTGCTAAACCTACTCGACTACGACACCTCTATATACCTCTCTAGGTTTGTTACTCCCTGTATTTCTTACTATGTTTTAATTGGATCAGTTGTCCATCAAAGGCTCTATTTATCAATTCTGTTTGTGGGACCCTCTCTGTCACTATTTGTCTTGCACAATGTGTTGTTAGAGACAACATTTAAATGGGAAGGGTAAAACTTCTCTCCTGATTTAACCACTAATGGTGTTTTAATTCGTGACAACTTTCTGGAAATTGACCTCTTTAATTCTCTCTTGATCTTCATACATATAGCTTTAAAACAGATGCCATACCCAAGGATTGATATATTATATCCCTGAATTCTCAATCTGCCATTACAATGTTTTATTTCCATGGATCGTGGAGTGTTGCCATCTAATTAAATTGTAACCCTTATCTCACAATTTCTTATTTGCTATTTATTTCTCAATCCTGGTCGACCAGGATTTAAACCTTTTTTTTCCTCCTGTGATCAATGGTCTGTCCAGTCGCCATCTTCCCTTGAGGTCATCTCCATCAAATACTTATATCCCGTTTGGGATCATCTCTATCATACTTCATTTCACTCCTCCTCCTCATGCTCCATCTTTCTCTATTATTAACCTCTTAAAGAGTACCCTCACCACTTGAATGACCCTTTCTCCCACCTCACTCCCAGTATCCATCCAAACATCCTAAATATCAGTGTTTTTCTTCTCTCCCTGCCTCCTCTTTATCCCTCTGTCTTTCTCTCTCTCTCTCTCTCTCTCTGTCTGTCTGTCTCTCTTTCTCTCTGTCTTTCTTTATCTCTCTCTCTCTCTCTCTCTCTCTCTCAGTCTTTCTCTCTCTCTGTCTTTCTTTCTCTTTCTCTCTGTCTTTCTTTCTCTCTCTTTATCTCTCTCTCTTTCTCTCTCAACATCTTTTAATCTCTTTCTTTGTTTCTACTTCTCTTTCTCTCTATTAATATTAGTATTATTATTATGTTATTATTATTTATTTGGCATCTCAAACATACAATAGAAGGTACAATAAAATCTCTATCTCTCTCTTGCTACTTCTCTTCCTTCCAGATGTGGATGTGGCAGGAGTCTTGCGTTCCACCGGCAGCTCACTAGGACGTCACACCTCAGATCCTCGGGAAGCTCAAATTTATGGAATTCAAAAAACCACACAGTCTCCTTGGCAACAGATGCCTATGGATTGCTGGAATTCCAGGGAGCTGGGCATGGCAACAAGGCGAAGGTAGAGATTGAATTTGCTCAAAAGATTACCGAAGAAGAAGAGTCCATTTTTCAGACCTGTCATTTTCCCCTCAATTTGAATTTTGCTATCATCAGAACTATTCATAAAGCCCCTTTGATGTAATGAAAGAATGCATTATTTACAAAAAATACTGCAGTCATCTGCCCTTGCTACCAACATGCCTATTTCTTATACATAATCCAAGTATACAGTGCTCCTAAGGTAATTGTATTTTGCTTTGATGCAATGCGAAGTATACAATTGAAATCATGATGAATGTCATGAATAAAAACAGGATTTGTCAGAGATATTTTGGAGCTCAGAAGTGACCTTTAGGTTCTCATTGTAAAACATTTATGCTTTTTGAAAAAGAAAAAGAAATGTTGTATGCTGCTATTCCATGTCATGGTATGCTTAAATGTTATCTACAGTTCTGGCAATAATATGAAATTTCACAATTCATATTAAACTGGACTGGCTGAATAATACTAGAAATAACTGTCATAAATGTCATAACTGTCATCATTTTTGTTGAAAAGGTGATACAACTGAGTACTGAGCAAATAACAAAGAGCAAAGAATTGATTAAAACCAGTTATTTAAGTGCAACTCCATTTCTTTAACTCAAGATTAATACATGTATATTCTGATTTGATTTGTTTACCAACAGCAATACAGTAATACATTTCATACAATGTGTTTACATACACAAGAAGAGAAAATATTGGTTGGTAAAAGTAAAAAGGGGCCAGATAATAGCACATGAATGTGTTTTCTTCTGAAATTTGTTAAAAGTTGATAATCTACATTTGTTGCCAAATTTGTGCCAACAGTAAAAAAAAAAAAAAAAAAAAAAAAAAAAAACATACATGGGCGAAGCTAGCAAATTAGCAGCGGAAAGAAAAAAAAGGGTGTGGAGGAATAAAAGAAATATGGTAAAAACCTGTAACATAACTGAGACATCTGCAGGAAATTTTAATTTCCCAATAAAAAAATCTGAAAAAGAGCATGCATGAACAAAATTTAAAGCCCCTCTGCACTACTTATAGCTACCAGCAAACAATGCCTAATCGGTGCCTGTTGGTGCCCCATGATTCCCCTTTTCTCTTACAGTATGTTAATTGAGAGCTGAATTGATGAGATAACCACCTGTCAGTGACCTTGCAGGGAGGTCTAATCCCCTCAGGCCAAACTAGTACAGCCAGGCTTTAATTGCATTTTTTTAACACTGTTATCTCACAATTTCTGTCTCCTGCCAGTACATCCGATTTGCAGATGGCACCACACCTGAACCAACTTTGTAACGTACCTGAGACATCTCCAGGAAATTTTGATTTTTCAATACAAAAATCCAAAAAGAGCATGCATGAACAAAATTTAATTGCTTTTTCTTTTTACACCCTTATCTCACAGTACATCCGGCTTGCAGATGACACCAACCCCGAGCTCATCCTGCACCTCCTGAAGAGGCACTGGAACCTTGGTCTGCCCAACCTTCTCATCTCCATGCGAGGTGGTCTCCAGGACTTTGCCATGCAACCCAAGCTCAAGAGGGTCCTCTGCAAGGGTCTGAGCAAGGCAGCCAGGACCACGGGGGCCTGGATCATGACCGGTGGCACCAACACAGGTAAGAACAGGAACAGCTCCAGGAACTGTGGGATTATATTCTTTGACTTGTGTTAAGCCTCAGGCCTAAAAAAAAGATGTTTCATTGCCCTTTACCACCGACTCGAATATCTTGAAATCTGCGGTCGGCTTTTAGTGTTTTTTAGAGAATTTTTTTTTGTAAAGCCTTCAACAGAGCTGCCAACTAGTACGGATTTTCCGTAATTGGTACGGAAATTAACGACCATTACGGAATGTTGTCTCAAATTACGGATTTTAAAAAAATAAAAAAAAAAAAAGATTTTTTTTTTTTTTTTTTTTTTTTTTTTTTTTTTTTTGAATTAAATATGATTTATCGTAGCGAGTGCTGTGAATAGGAGCCATTTTTCATGATAAACTGTGTTGTGATGACCTGAAATTCAATACTTAACATCTTTGTGTGAGTAAAATCACCAAAAATTTCAGATAATCATGCGTCCGCGCAGTGTTGGCGTGTCGTTTTTTTAGATTCATAGCGCCGCATAAGAAATTACTGATTTATACCCCAAATTACTGATTTTGAGCCTTGTGATTACTGATTTTCTGTTCTGGAGGTTGGCAGCTCTGCTTCAAAACCGAGAAATATCAGCCCAAAGAGAGAGAAGAAAAAGAAAAATTCTGACCGACCGACCCATGTTTTGACAACTAAAGAGCAATACAACATCTTTTTATTTTAGGCCTCAATTACGTATGTCACTGTAAATCCTGACAGTTTTAGACGGTTTACTACATGTTTTTTTAAGCATTCTGTACGTCACAATTTTGTATCTTACATGTATAACACAAAGATAGTGAGAACACGTAGGACTTGCATGCAGCTACTTTTTTCATCCCAATTACCATTCATTGAAAACCACGGCATATGTAAACGATCCTTTACAGATGGTACCATTATGAATTTGGTTATCTTTGTATTGTATTTATTTTCAATTTTGATTTCTGTATCTTCAGGAAGATTTAGGCATAGGGTTGCCAAAAATCAGTGAATTCTATTTATGAAAGAATCCAAGTTATCAGGAGATATTCCCCAATCAGGCAGTGACGGTATTATCATTTACTGAACAGACCTCATAAATTACTGAATATTCTCTTCAGAAAATCATCAAAGATTCATTACTTCCATCCATCAGTAATGAAGTTTTAGGGGCATGAGGAAACTCCTATAATGTGGCTCAGGATTCAGAGAGAGAGAGTAAACAGAATACCTCTGATTGAGCAGCATAAATTGCCTTGATTTAATGATTATTAGTATTCAATAACGTACCATCAGGAATATGAGCAACGAGAGGAGTTGATTAAATCTGTGCAATATCACACCATACCCACTACAGCATGCTCTTCTCGACTGTCGGGTTATGAATTCTGAAGTAGAAGGATCATGTCCCGTGAGATTAGAATGAAGTGATTACACTTTGTCTAATAAAGGATGGAAACAACAGGACAAGAGGAAGGGTGAGAGGAAGAGGGCTTGGGGAGGAAGGGCGAGAGAAAGAGGGGAGGAAGGGCGAGAGAAAGAGGGGAGGGGGAGGAAGGGTGAGAGAAAAAGGGGAAGGGGAGGAAGGGTGATTTTAAAGAAAGGGTGGGGAGGAAGGGTGAGAGAAAGAGGGGAGGGGAGGAAGGGTAAGAGAAAAGAGGGGAAGGGGAGGAAGGGTTAGAGGAAAGAGGGGAGGGGGAGGAAGGGTGAGAGGAAGAGGGCGTGAGGAGGAAGGGTGGGAGGAAAGAGGGGAGGGGGAGGAAGGGTGGGAGAAAAGAGGGGAGGGGAGGAAGGGTGGGAGGAAAGAGGGGAGGGGAGGAAGGGTAAGAGAAAAGAGGGGAGGGGAGGAAGGGTAAGAGAAAAGAGGGGAGGGGAGGAAGGGTTAGAGGAAAGAGGGGAGGGGGAGGAAGGGTGAGAGGAAGAGGGCGTGAGGAGGAAGGGTGGGAGGAAAGAGGGCGTGAGGAGGAAGGGTGAGAGGAAAGAGGGGGTGGGGAGGAAGGGTGAGAGAAAAACAAATTGGTAGAGAGGTCAGAAGGATGGAAAGAGAAGATGTGAAAGAAAGGAAGGAAGGGGGAGAGAGAGAGGAAGAGAGAGAGAGAGAGAGAGAGAGAGGGAGAGGGGGGAGAGGGGGAGGGGGGTAGAGGGAGTAAGAGGAAGAGGTAGTGAGAGGAAGATGGAGGTGAGAGGGAGAGAGAGTTATTGAGACCATGAGATGGAGAGAGAGGGAGGTTGGATAAGGGGGAAATAGGAAAGGATAAAACCTCCACCAAATATACAAATTCAGGTTTTGAGATAAATTATACTATTCCACTTAAAAGGACAATTAGATTATATGTCATTCTGCCTCTTGGAGTAGACTGGTATCTAGATTAGATGTAGATGTTTTTATAAACATATGAATATTAAAAAAACTGCATTACACTTTTCATTTTTCTGTTAGCAAACTGTTTTGTTTTCATATCTGAAAGAGTTTCACTCCTTTTTAAGTTTGCACATTTGCAACTTTGTCAAAAATGGTTAAGATCTATGGTAGATGTTGAACTACTAAAATGTGAAAAGAGAAAATGAGATTCATTGAGGTTTCCCTCTCCTATGAATCTTTCATAAATGGTGTACCTACCTTTTGAAATCAGGGAATATCATCTATTTTGCATTTCCCCCAAAAATTGATTAATGTATTGGTTTTTTCTCCCAGCATAATAGAAAAATCCATGTAAAGAGATTTAGAAGTAGAATCACACGAAGCTCTTTGCGGTTTCTGGGCTGTCGACGGGATTGGGAGATAAACTATATTGTGAAATAAAGCTAAGCCATTGGGAATTGGGTAGCCATTTGCAACCCCCTCATTTGTATTCAGTGGTTGTCGCCAGGAAGCTAAAATTAGAACTTTCCAGGATAGTTTGTATCACGGGTCTGGGAGAACCTATTCCCCACACACCATGGCTATGTTTAATATAGACTATATCATGGGATCCGTTCATATTGCTTTGTTACACGTGGCACAGAGCGTATTGATTGTGTGAACGTGCATCACAGTCTAATTCAAGGTACAAAAACATCCCCTAGGCCATGTCATTATTAAAAATGCAGTATTTGCACATGACTCTGGTATGGTGTATGTGTCAAAGTTACACGTGATGGAATATTCCTCAACCCCATTCTCTTCGCACGTCACAATCAAAAGAGCTTTGAATGGGTATGAAAAATAAGCTGTAAACATGCTGTTTCATGCTTGAAGGATGGATATTATGTTACCGATTTCAGTCTGAACTTTGAATTGAACTTTTAAAGTGCCGCACCCAACCTCAAAATGTCCCCTCTCTCGTCTTCCTAACCCCCTAGAGTACATGGTATCCATGGTAGAGATCTCCAAGATATCCAAGATTTTGAGATTGTGATTCTGAAGGCATCACTTCCACCTTTCTGGTTTCTAACTGCTTCCATTGCTATTATGCGAGCAAAGCAATAAGTATCTTTATCATACATATTTCATCGCACGCACTGCGGTTGTGGAATTATTGCATCAAATTTCCCACCACATGCCCATAATGGCCCCTGTAAACATTATTAAAAGTGGTGCCACTAGCACAGACAGGATGAGTCCGAGATGACCAAGCACAGCTCATGCGTTAGCTTGCACCAGCAAGAGATAAATATAGCATCATCGATTTGAAAGTTACAAGCGTAATACAGGCTCACGTAAGAATTGATAGGGTGGCAGGGGTTATCATCCATAATTGAACAACTTTTGGAATTACATTCCTCCAAAAGGGCCAGACGGAGGGAGCACAAAATCGGTTTTCTTTCTGAGTAAATATCTTCTTTAGTGGAGCCAATGTTTCAATGATGTGGTTTTACACTCTTTGTAGATCATTTAGAACAAAATTGGGACACCTTTACAAGAGTTGATGGGGGGGGGGGGTGGAGGCCGAATAGGCTTTAGCTTATTGAAGAAGATTTGGAGCAGTGAAGAAGATTTGGAGCAGCGAAGATGAATTGTGACACTGCTAGGCAATTGTCAGCACTAAAAAAACCTGTTTGGATTTGTTTTTTGGCAAGGACAAAGTCAAGAAAACAGTGAATACAAAACAACAGTAGAATCTGAAGAGAGTCACATGGATGCTGGGGGAAAAAATTATTAACTAGATAACAATAACCCGAAGGTCTTGATGTTAATTAGACTTATTTAGAGAAAATGAACCTTGAAGATAATTTTCTCTTTTCATTTGGCTTGTTGCTTGCCAATTTTATCTAAAAAAAAAAGGAGATATGATGTTGTTGATGTTTTTGTTAAGGCTTGACATTTCAGCTTTGGCCTTGCAAGGTATTTCCTTACTTGAATAACAACTTACCCGGCCGTAACCTAGCATACACAGTGGGGTCCATAAGTAATGGAGGTCTTGAAACAAAATCCATGCCATTTAAATTGAAAAAGGCTTCCATAGATAATGAGCTGTGCACTCACGTACATGTGTTCTGTGATGAGAGTGGACACTCATCACTCATTTGTTTCTCCAACTGTGTTTTTTTCTTAAAGTGACTATGTAACATTGAATCAAATTCTGAAACAAAATATTGGATTTATCTCATGCTACAATTATATTATAACCTTTAGGTCAGTCAGGAATCCCATGACTTTTACAAGCCGATTGCCTGTCTAATTATCAAGATATTTATGATTTCATTTTTTTGTTTTCCCAAAGGTTTTTATGATACTACAGTCTATTGGGAAAAATGAGTATGGTAAAACCGGTCACTCAAAGATTTTTACTTTTTTGAGGCACTTCATGATCATTTTGAAGCACAACTTTTTTAGGGCTTCAATATTACACCATATCACAGACACTGATAAGACGTAGGGCCATTCATCTCAGATTTAACATTGTAGCTCATATCAGGGTGGTCCACAAACACCATTTCAGACATGTAAAATTAGAACTTCAAAGAAGTATGATCGTGTGTATGCAAAGCACAAAGTCCCTTGTGGCCTGGTGGCTTGCTTGCTTGCT